ATAATGGAAGCCACGGAGACTGCAAGCTCTACAGAGCATCCTGACGAGTCACCTCTGGATTCACGTGATAGTGGCTACCCTTACGATGCGCTAGGTAGCTTGACAGAACCATCTCCTTCGGCGCCATCGTCACCATCTACTGCTATACCTCCGGAGGCTTCGAGGCCAGCTAGCACCCTATTGGGCTGGGTCTCGAGTCGGTCCAAAGCTAACGAAATGTCAGGCGATGTCGCTCGGTCGCAACTGTTTATTCCTTGGTCTAATCAAGAAACCGTCGGATGCGGTACTTGCCCGAAGTATCAGGCAGATTATGTTCTTGGAGAGATCACGCGGAAGGGATCGTCCTCTAGCTTTGCAGGCTGGATTCGTGTGGATTACCCTATGATGTCTAAATCGCCGGATGTGACTCGATATCTTCTCCGTGACACATATATTTTCAATCCCATAGTCGAGTTCAAGGAGCTCCTCGGTCCTAAGTCACTCCCCTGTACAGGATGTGGCGGAACTCTCACTGTGCAGGGGCTGAGCTCGCATGGCCCTCGGATTTGTATTGGCCTTCGCAAGGACTTCTGGGTCTGGCCGGTTACATTGGTCTGCACAGGTCCTTGCGCCAATGATCTTACTGACAGGCGCAAGAGATTTCTCTCATTGGCGGATGAATTTTTTACAGCCATGCCCGAAGAAGTACTCCGATCGGTGCCGTTTGTTCCATCCGGCCCTGGTGGCAGGCTTTTTTCCCGCGAGGTACTCGCATCGGTCCGTCAAACAGCGAGTGGCGGGAATACGCTTGGGCATATTGCTCAGCAGATCAATGCGAATCACGTCGAAGATTATCTGGAACGACGGACTCGATATACGGATCATTGCACTGCTCGACGATCTTCCCACGGTACGGTCTCTCATTTGCAGATGTTCCCTCCGATTGAGCGTGATCCCCCTGTTCATCGCGATACTCTACAGAGGCTTTATCTAACAGATTTTCGACGCCGAGAACCGTATATGCATGGTGCTATGAGCTCATTGTTGGGGAGGGTGCTCAAGGCGGATCATTCTTACGTCGTGCAACTCTTACACGGGGCGGGTGCTAGTCAGCATTTCAGTGTCATGAACGAAGATTCGCTTATTATTGCTATGGGGGTTTGTGAGGGAGATGGAATCGAGGAATATGAGCAGATGCTGCACGGGCTGGCGAAGCGCTATCAGGACTCTGCTGCTCATCTTGGGGTAGCTCTTGATGATGTACTCCCTCTCTACGTCTATGTGGACAAAGATTGCTGTAACGGATATCTACCATCGAGCAAAGACGGTTCACCTCGTCATCATGTGGTCACTGATCCGCTCGGTCCCAATACTCCACCTACTCGCACAGAACAAGCATGGCAGAAGATCAGCCCTAATATTAAGCTCCGTCTGGATGCTTTTCATTTTATGCGGAGGTTCGAGTTGGGCATCACCCATGTCCAGCATGTGCTGTACCCGAAGTTCGCATCGGACCTCCGATACGCTATGTTCTGCAGACATGAGGGTGATTGGCGACGTTTAGTTGATGCAGCTTCACGCCACTTCAAAAAACAAGGCCTCTCCCGTCAGCAGGCTATCCAGCGAGTAACCAAGGAGGATGTACAGAAGTACTGTCGACGGCGTATTCCTCTCGGGGATGAGCTTTTTCGACGAGTCCGAGAAGTTATCGAACGATACGACAATAAGGAGATCGATGGTGTGCCACTT